TCCATTTATACACCTCGATTATATCCCCCCTAATTCTAGGGAGGATATGCACAATTACTACTCTACTAAGAATAGAATACATGACACTTGCCTTTATTGAAGATCTGATGATGATTGATGGGATGGGAGGAGGGGAGAGTGTGGAAGTTATTGTTTAGAAGGGGAATCCCCTTCCATTAGGACTTGAGGTAGCAAGTCCTTTTCTGGGGTTACTTCCCTTCTTCTTTTAATGCCACTAAGACCAGCTTGAGAGCCACTGGACCTCTGTCACACAACAAATCTGTCCATAGAGGTCTGTACCTCCCATTCCTTTAAGATTTGCCAAAAATGGGTCACAACACTGTCATTATAATAGTCACCAGCACGGCTTGTAATAGATGTGTTAGGGTGATTTTCATCCATAAAGGTTTGCAGTTCAACCCGCTTTGCACACATTTCCTTAATCTTTGAAGTAGGCACAATGGATTCCACAACTGTCATAGGCTTCTCAGGGTTAGCCCCAAACCCTTCAAAATCTTTCTTAATATCCATACTAATTCTCACCCTTTTTACCACAGGGTTGGCACTAGCTTTCTTGGGGCCCATGGAGACTTATTTTGCAGTTAGAAGCACTAAAAACGCTGTGATAATATGAAATTTGCCGAATGTATGCTTAGATGCGACCGCACTGGCTGGCTTGTAAACACTGGCAACCACAGGGCAGCTGAGGCCACATGTGGGACGCGTCCCAGACGAATCACGTAAGATGAGTTTTTTTATCGTGAGGCGAGGCAAAATTTTTGTGTTCAAATGCTTCATATGGCGGATTTAACATAACGTGATGCGTTCGTAAGGCGGGGGTCCACTGTATAGTGCTCAGAAGCAGCAAAATACAGTGTAAAATGTTCATCCTTATAGATGCAGTATCTTATTCTCAGTAACAAGTTCACATTAGTCAATTATGTGTTGTGGAAATTCTTAATTTTCAACATATTAAAACAATTTAAAAAAATAATGATAACAAGTACAGCCTCTCCTCACTTAACGACGGAGTTCTGTTCCCAAGATCACATCGGTAAATGAAGTCATCGCTAAGCAAGAAACATACTATAATGGCAGTAGGTTTGTGTCAACCATCTTTGATATTGTTTTAATGTCACCTTTGCACTAATTATAACATTTTTAGAATATTTTTAAATGTTTATACAGTAGTATACTGTACATATATTGTAATAAACAGAATAGAGGAAATCAGCTCTAATATACATTATTTAGGTATGCACACTGGTCAGAGAGCCCGTCGTAAGTCCAAGTCGTCAGTAAACGAGGATGTTGCTAAGTAAGGAGAGGCTGTATGTTTCTTTAGGTAGAGATACACACAAATATAGTTACACAAGTTATCATACGTAGTAACACATGTAAATTACCTAGGATAACCCAAAAATGCCAGACAAAATGGCTTACTTCCACTGATATATCTGAAGACAAAGTAAAGAAAAAGAGGCATAATGTAGTGGACCAGTTCAGCCTCACCACCATGAAAAAAAAAACTTTAAACACTTTCTTTCATGACTTGTTCAATGAATTTCATGTGTTTATGCCTTCAACAGTAATGTATCATTTTACATTATTTATTATTTTTTTTTTTTTTTTATCACACTGGCCGATTCCCACCAAGGCAGGGTGGCCCGAAAAAGAAAAACTTTCACCATCATTCACTCCATCACTGTCTTGCCAGAAGGGTGCTTTACACTACAGTTTTTAAACTGCAACATTAACACCCCTCCTTCAGAGTGCAGGCACTGTACTTCCCATCTCCAGGACTCAAGTCCGGCCTGCCGGTTTCCCTGAATCCCTTCATAAATGTTACTTTGTTCACACTCCAACAGCACATCAAGTATTAAAAACCATTTGTCTCCATTCACTATCAAACACGCTCACGCATGCCTGCTGGAAGTCCAAGCCCCTCGCACACAAAACCTCCTTTACCCCCTCCCTCCAACCTTTCCTAGGCCGACCCCTACCCCGCCTTCCTTCCTTTACATTATTTAGTTTGCCCAAAATGCCTCAGCATGATAGTGGCTATCTTTGTACTTAGCAAATCAAAATTGTAATTACACAACGTAACCTTTACAAAAAATAAACTTTACTTACTTACTTTACTTACTAGGTTAGATTAGGTTGGGTTGGGTTAAGTTACATTAGGTTAGGTTGGGTTGAGTTACAATACTTTAGGATGGGATGAGTACATTAGTTTGGATGGGCTGAGTACATTAGTTTGGATGGGCTGAGTACATTAGTTTGGATGGGCTGAGTACATTAGTTTGGATGGGCTGAGTACATTAGTTTGGATGGGCTGAGTACATTAGTTTGGATGGGCTGAGTACATTAGTTTGGATGGGATGAGTACATTAGTTTGGATGGGCTGAGTACATTAGTTTGGATGGGCTGAGTACATTAGTTTGGATGGGCTGAGTACATTTAGTTTGGATGGGATGAGTACATTAGTTTGGATGGGCTGAGTACATTAGTTTGGATGGGCTGAGTACATTAGTTTGGATGGGCTGAGTACATTAGTTTGGATGGGCTGAGTACATTAGGTTAGGTTGGGTTACATTAATTTTTCATTTCTAAAACTAAAAAGATCTCAAATACTCATTCACATCAATTTTGTATGATCTCACTCATAAAATAATGCTGAAGACCAAGGAATAAAATAAACAATAATCAAAGTCGCATCCATTACATTAAGAAATTACGCATTTTAAAATTAAATTTATTAAAAGAGGATGTGGTAAGCACTATAACTATTGGAAATTTGAAAAAATATAAAGAACACATTGCTGAAAACAGGACACCATAATAAAAATAATTCAATTACCATTATTACATTCATTTTTTTTTTTTTTTTTTTTTTATCACACCGGCCGATTCCCACCAAGGCAGGGTGGCCCGAAAAAGAAAAACTTTCACCATCATTCACTCCATCACTGTCTTGCCAGAAGGGTGCTTTACACTACAGTTTTTAAACTGCAACATTAACACCCCTCCTTCAGAGTGCAGGCACTGTACTTCCCATCTCCAGGACTCAAGTCCGGCCTGCCGGACATTCATAACAATCTTTATTTCTACAAGTACATGTACAAGGTATAAGTCCCTAGCTGACATCAATGGTATACTACTATATAGAAAACCCCTTATTATGCAAAGCATTTCATGCAAATCAGGTAAATTTTGTCCCAGGATGCGACTCACACCAACTGACTAACACCCAGGTACCTAGGTGAACATGGACAGAAGGTACCTTAAGGAAACAGTTCCTAATGTTTCCACCCATAACAGGAATTGACCCCCGAACCTCAGTGTGAGAGCAGAGTGCACTGGCAATAAAGCTATGGGGAGTACTAAACCCACATGGTCATACAGTGCCTCGGGGAATGGAAGGAATTCAGGCTTGATGCGGGGAATTGGAGCATTTAATATATATTTATTTCAGGAGATGGTTTTTGAGGTTAGCCATTGGTTACTATGAAATATTAAATAGGTTGTGCTATGTTGAAAGTTAAACATTTAAGAACTTTAAGTTTATTTAAGCACAGGTACACACAAATACAGTTACACGAATTATTATACATCGTAACATGTGTAAATTACCTAGGATAACCCCCCCCCAAAAAAAAAAAGTCTGAGGAAGCGATTTATTAAAACACTGGAACTCAGTCGCTGGGCCCATTATGTGCCTCTGTGACCTTTCAACTGCTGCCCACAGGATGGGTGCATAAAAAATATTGTATTAGAAATAAAGTCCTGAACGTGTAGGAGCCCTTCTTAAAATCTTAAAATAATGAATCCTATGATACTCCAATACTGAAACTATGTACTGTGCCAAAACAAAAGCATTCACATTGCTAAACTCACAAACTAGTATTTAGTCACTTAGCCATAATACCAACTTATCTCATAATTTGTAATATTTTAAAATAAAGAATTAAACTAAGTCTGCCCGAAATGCCTAGCCATGCTAGGCGTTCTAGTGGTACACTCTGTAATTAGTATTTTACTACATGTAAACCACACAATAACCAAATTCTGTAAACTCAGCATTGTAATACTTATAGAGAATAAACTTTGAATTGAATTGAATTCAGCTCTTAGCAAATGGAAGGCAATCAGATTCAATTGAAGAAAGTGGAGAACAGGTTCAATTCCTTGGATAAAAAGTCGCTCACCTGCTGTTAAATAAATGGATCGTGGTTCAAGCCCGCCCACTCGTCAGTTTTTTTTTTGGGCATGTCGTGGCTCAGCTGGTAGGCACCTCAGCTCACACAATGGTCGACTGTGTTTTGATCAGCATGAATGAAAATATTGGACATGCTTACTTACACCTGCTGTCCCTGTTCACCGAGTAGCAAGTAGGTACCTGGGTGTCAGTCACCGGTGTAGGTCACATCTTGGGGGGGGAAGAGAAGTCAGGATCCCTATAGATACAACAATCCTCCACGGCATCCTGACTTACTAACCGGGCAGCGGGCCTCCAGCAGCAACAGCCCGGTTGACCAGGCAAGCACCAGACGAGCCTGACCCATGGCCGGGCTCAGAGAGTTGATTAACTCTCGAAAGTCTTCAATGGTTTACATGTCACTCATTTTAACTCATCATTACTCTTAAACGCATGAATTACCTGATTTACTTATTAGTGTTATTATATTTTGGGGTAACGCTAAACCCGTACGGGTCATACAGCGCCTGGGGAATGAGAGCCTAAGAAGTTTAATTAAAAAGATATGAAGAACAAACTCAATTTTAAATAACAGACGGGAGTTACAAGGCCAATGCCTTGGATCAAGAGCCCCTCAACAGCACTAATGAACCTCCATTTAGGATATCAATCAGACATTAAACTTACTCGTCAGTTATCAAATTTGAACAAAAGAGAACCAGTGTTGAGAGGTGATCAACTTGCTCCCGTACAGTTATATACATTACTTTGATGATAACAGCGAGGGAGGCTTCCCAATTACCTTAATTATTACTATATATGACCAACATTGAAGTATAATGTGTGGAGAGCAGCATCAACAACAGCATCAACAGAATCACTCACACAACCGCTCACCACAAAGTAGCAACTTTTGCTATCTTTCACACAAACATGCTAATATTAGCAAACAATTATCCTAATTTAGTACTAGGTACAAATACAGATAATTTTTTTTTTCTACGGTATACAGGTAATGTAGTTTACATGCAATAAAATGTTGCTAGGCACGTAAGAAGGCCACTAGCATGCTATGTATTTCGGGCAGGCTAAGTTTATTCAGGTGCAGGTACATATAACTACAGTTACATATTCAAATTCAATTCAAATTCAAAGTTTATTCTCTATAAAAATTACAATGTTGAATTTACAGAATTTGGTTGTTGTGTGGTTTACATGTAGTTAAATGCCTAGCCATGCTAAGCGTTCTAGTGGTACACTCTGTAATTATTATTTTACTACATGTAAACCTCACAATAACCAAATTTCTGTAAACTCAGCATTGTAATCCTTATAGATAATAAACTTTGAATTTGAATTTGAATTTGAGTGTACCACTAGAACACCTAACATATCTAGGCATTTCGGGCAGACTTAGTTTAATTCTTTATTTTAAAATATTATAAATTATGAGGTAAGTTGGTATTATGGCTAAGTGACTAAATACTAGTTTGTGAGTTTAGCAATGTGAATGCTTTTGTTTTGGCACAGTACATAGTTTCAGTATTGGAGTATCATAGGATTCATTATTTTAAGATTGAGATTAATATTTCTGTTTATGATCAAATGAGGGAGTGAGTGTAAGTGTGAACCACCAGGTGGTATTCGTGTAGTTAGTTGACGGGGTGTATCAGGGAGATAAGATGTTTTCTAATGGTAGTTTTGAAGGTGATGAATGTGTCTGCAGTTCTAGAGCTCTCAGGTAGGGTGTTCCAGATTTTAGGGCCTTTGACATACATTGAATTTTTGTAAAGGTTTAGTCGGACACGGGGAATGTCGTAGAGATGTTTGTGTCTGGTGTTATGCCTGTGGGTTCTGTCACAACTATCAAGAAAGCGTTTTAGGTCAAGGTTGATATTGGAGTTTAAGGCCCTGTAGATGTAGATTGCACAGTAGTAAGTGTGGATGTACTGAACAGGGAGTAAGTTTAGATCTATGAAGAGTGGGGGGGGGGGGGTTGCCAGGGATGGGATTTAGTGATTATTCTTACTGCAGCTTTTTGTTGGGTTATTATTGACTTTAGGTGTGTTGCTGCAGTTGATCCCCAAGCACAAATAGCATAGGTGAGGTATGGATAAATAAGTGAGTGGTATAGTGTGAGAAGGGCATTTTGCGGCACGTAGTATCGTATCTTGGAGAGGATCCCAACTATTTTATTTTATTATTTTGGTAAAGGTACACATGTACAATTTGCATACCTCGTACCATGTTTAAATTACACAGTATAACCCAAAAAGTCAGACAAAGTAACTGGTTTCCATTGGGATCCTAATATCCGATCTGATCCTTATGAGAACTCGCGCATTATTTTTTTAATACAAACAAACTATATCTATACCCTGGCCAACGTTGTTATTTCGTGTGGAAGTTGATATTTTGGGAGGTATTAGTTTAAATAATACTTTATTTTAGGCTCGAATGCCGCGTCAGGGCCAATCACACGTCAGTTGACTCGCCTCGGCCAATCATAGTCAACGTAAACAAAACACACACACACACACACACACACACACACACACAACACACACCACACACACACACACACACACACACACACACACACACACACACACTAGTACCATATCCCCGCTGCTGGAGTAGGGATTAGGTGTAACAAGTAAATTATTTTTATTCGTTACATTTTTCAGTTTTTTGAATGTTACATTTTTATTAGTCAAAACTAAGCACAAAACCCACCGGGTCATACGCTTAGTATTAAAATTTGTCTTATAAGAAACTATGTGAAAATTTACCTAGGAAAACGGGCTGTGGCTCGACTTGGTTTGCGTGCAGCCACAGTAACAGCCTGGTTGATAGGCTCTGATCTACCGGGGACCGGTCAAGCCCGGGCCGCGGGGGCGTTGCCCCCCGGGAACTCTCTCCAGTAAACCCGGTATCACGAAATAGCGAAATAAAATTAGAAAAATCAATAAACCCCAACCCCACCAACAAAACAGCAAAGACTCAAGATTCCTTCCCACTATAGGACAAAACCCTCGCCAACAAAATCCCAAGCTCAGATACCCCCCCAAAAGATACCTCACTGGAAAACAAACCCGAAACAGTTCCTAGCTCCGACTAACCCATCAAAGTCTCCCTTATTATCAACACTAAAAAACAAGGCAGGAGTTTTAAAATCCTTACCACCTTTTATAAAAAAAAAAGTTCACAAGGCTACCCCAAATCATTGCAACACTCTTTAAAAAACCCTTGATTTAAATCCTCCACCTTCCCCTAAGTTCTCAAAATACGAGGGTCACCCCGTCCATGAAGGGGGGAGACCAAGTTGAAAAACTTGGGGCCAATATCCAACTTACACCCCCCAAAAAAATTTCAAAAAAATTAAATTCATAAACGAATCTACTCCTACCTCATCCCCCAAACATTTCAAACCCTGCCAATTTGATTCAGCCAAAATAAAAATCTAATATCTATTATACAAAAGCTAGAACTATATACACGAATAGAGAAAAAAGAAGTCCACGGGGGACTCTTTGACTTACAAAGTTTTTGATCAGTTGACCAGACTTGCTCCACGTAAATTGCCCAACTATGGTATAAAGGGCACTCCCTAAACTACCTCAAGTCATACCCAGCAACAGAAGCCAAATGTGCACAAATGGGGCAAACTCTTCGCACAACCAAATTTACAGTTGGTGTCCCACGGGAAGTGTCCTTGGCCCTCTTCTTTTTCTCCATACAAAATGACCTCCCAAAGCTTGAAAATTACCAAACCCACACTATTTGCAGTACATTACATACGTTTTTCCTAAACCCGAGCCCAGTCATACTCCCAATATGTAAACACCAAATTACACGATATGATTGGGGCAAAAAGACAGTAGTTTGTTGGATTATGATTGGTAGAAAAAAAGACTGTTGAGTAATTTTTAGGATGTACATGTTTATAGAGGGCCACAGATATATCAATCACTTTCTAGTTGTAGCTACACTGGAGTAAAGGTAGGGGGATACAAGGGAGAATAGAAGCATCAGGGAAGAGAGAGGTGAAGGTTTATAAACAAAAGAGGAGGCAGTTGGGGAAAAAAAACGCTATTGGAGGATAGAGGGGCTAATGAGAGCATGGGCAATGGGGTCGAAGAGGTAGGGGTAGGTTTAAAAATGAGTGAAAGGTGTTCAGCAAAAGTTTGGGGTTACGGAAAGGGGGTGCAGGGGGAAGAGGAGCGTTTGGGGGAAATGATGATGTAAAGGGGTAGAAGGGAGAAAAGTTAGCATTAGAATTTTTTTTTTACAAAGTAGAAGTGGGCAAGGGGGGGGAAGAAAAATTTTGGAGAAAAAGAGAGAAGTTGAGAGGTGGCAATGTAAAAAAGAGGCAATGAGAGAGGGGTGGTTTATCAAAAAATTTTGTTGAAAAAAGAAAAGTTTTGGAGTGGTTCAAGTTAAAGAAAGCCAGAGACAAGGGTTTTGTCATTAAAAAAAGAGGGGAAAGGTTATTAAATGGGGTTGAGGTTTTGGGGAAAGGGGAGGAATTTTTTGGGGAAAATTGTTAAATGTTGAGAAGATAGGGAAGCGTGATTTCGTGTATGGGGCAAGGAGGAATAACATCTTGTAGGAGTGGGGAAGAGCCGTTGTGAGTGTGGGGAAGTTCGTGAGGCGGGGGTAAAATAAAGGGGGGGTAAGGGCAGCCGGGATTGGGGGATAAAAGTAGAAAATTTAAAAGCGGGTGGGGAATATTTTTGGAGGGGTTTGGTGCAATTTTTAAAAAATGTATGGAAGGGGGAAGGGTCCCTAGGTTTGGCAAGAGCAGTATTCCCTTTGTATAAAGGCAAAGGGGGTAAAAGAGATTTTGCAAAAATTATGGGGGGGATAAGTTTTTGGTTCCTGGTAAAGTCTATGGAGAGTTATAATTGAAAGAATTAAAGAAACGGAGAATAGGATAGCAGATGAACAAGGAGGCTTTAGGAAAGGTAGGGGGGGTTTTTGGACAGGTTTAACGAGGAAAATTAAGTAAACAGTATTTAGAAAGGCTAAAGAGGTCTTTGTGGCATTTTGGTTTTGGGAAAAAAAAAGGCGTATGACAGGGTGTTTGGGGCAATGTGGCATTTTGCAAGTGTAGGTGTAGGAGAGTTTACTGAAAGCAGTGAAGAGTTTTTACGAGGATAGGAGGCCCAAGTTGAGTAGTAGGAAAGAGGAAATTTTTTTCCCCGTAAAGTGGGGGGCTTAGACAAGGATTGTGATGTCACCGGGTTGTTTAATAAAATTATAGAGGGGGTTGTAAAGAAAGAAAAATGCGGGGTTTTGGCAAGAGGCTGGAGTTAAAAAAGAAAAGAATCACCAAAAAGGGATTTTGTCACAGCTGCTCTTTCCCGATGACAGTGCTTTGGGAGTTTCTGAAGAAAATTTTCCCGAATTGGGGGGATGAATTTGGTAGGGTGGCAAAAAAGAAAATTAAAGGTGAATACGGAAAAAAAAAAGGGTTTTAGGAAACAAAAAAGATAGGTGAAAAAAAGAGAATATCAGTTTGGGAAGGGAGAGAGTATGGGGAGGTAAACGTATTAGATTTTTGGGGAGGGGACTGTCAGCGGATGGGTCAAGAAAATTTAGGGAACTTAAATTGAGAGGGAAAAAAAGAGTGAGGGTCCCTTTGGGAGTCTGTGGGCCCCCCAAAGAATTTTGTCCGGGGAGGCAAAGAGGGGAAAGTAGAAGTTTTATTTTTACCAACGCTCTTATAGGGGTGTGAAGCGGGGTGTGAATTTTGCAGCGAGGAGAAGGTGGAGGCATGGAAATTCATGTCTGGGGGCAATGTGGTGGTTGAATAAAATGCAGAAATTCGTTTTTTGGAAGTTAGGAGGGGTGGGGGGATTCCAAACTGTTGTCCAGAGGGCTAGGAAGGGTTTGTTGAGGTGGTTCGGACATGAAAGGGGAAAATGGAGCGAAACGAATGACTTCAAGAGAAAATCAGTCGGAAGGGGGAAGGAAGGGGGGTAGGGTCGGCCTAGGAAGGGTTGTAGGGGGGGTAAAGGAGGTTATGTTGCGAGGGGTTTGGGACTTCCACGGGCATCGGGGCGTGTTTGATAGGGGAGTGAAGGGAAAAAATTTTTTTTTTTTAAATCCTTACGTTGTTGGGAAAAGGGTGAGCAAAGTAACATTTATAAGGGGATTCGGGGAAAACCGGCAGGCCGGACTTATCCGGGAGATGGGAAGTACAGTGCCTGCCTCTAAAGGGGGGGTTTTTTAATTTTGCAGTTTAAAAACTGAGTGTAAACACCCTTTCTGGCAAGACAGGATGGATGAGATGGTGAAATTTTTTCTTTTTCGGGCCACCCGCCTTGGTGGGAATCGGCCGGGGGTATAATAAAAAAAAAAAAAAAAATCACCTGGATGAGGCTAAAAAACTTACACTAACATTGAAAAAACCCCTACTTATTCTTTTGGTAAAGAGCGCAGAGTGTTTTTAAACATAAAAAAAAACGGATCACCTATCACAAAGCTCACAGGGGAAAATTTTTAGGAATCCCCCTTGTAAAACCAAATTTCATACACATATACAAAAAATTTCTAAAAAAATTTCGGCCGATGCATACTACGAAGAAACGGGAAATATGTTCCACAGTCGCCCTCCTGGCCCAATCACTCCTTATTTACCCCAACTCCCTATGGAATTTGTGCATGGGGGTCAACAACAAATTAAACCTTCAGACCACCCAATTACCCAACAAAGGTGCAGTCAGAATGATAACAAAAACCCATCAGGCAACACCCACTAATATTCAAAACACTAAAACCTTCTCACCTACAAAAAAATCCATACTTTTTTACTGCACCCAAAAACATAATAGAACACTTTGATATTAACCCTCCCCCCCAAAAACCTCCTTGCCAACCTCAAAGAACACTGACCCTAACACAAGGCACAGATCACTCTTTTATGTTTCCCGTGTCCAATCTAGTGCAAAAAATCAATGCACATAAAAGGCCCTAAAATTGGAATATAAAAAAATATAAAAGGAACATACCCGTTTAAAATTCAAATCCTTTTTCAAAAATACTTTCTACCCAAAAACCAAAAAAATCAATAACGAACCCTTTTAATTTGTTTTTTCTTAAATGTCATTGCAGAGTACTTGCTTTCAAAACTGTTTAAACCCCCAAATGAGTATGGAAGTTTTTTGCTTTAAAAATCGAGAACCAAAAAACCCAAATTTTTGGTAGTCTAAAGCATCCCGGATCAACATCCCCGCAATTCCCGGGAAAAGCTGTTAAAATTGACCACGTCTGGAAAATCTCCAGCTCCCACCCAAAATCTTCTCCTGGGGGGTTTTAAATTAAAAGGGACCCAAAAAAGGGAAAAAAACAAATAATATTGTTGCAGTAATAACACGGGGGCAGCTCGATGAAAACTCAATACCACTTTTAAATCCTGCCAAAATTCAATTTAAACCAGCAAATAATAACCTACAGACTGAAGAATACACAGACTCATCTTCACTAAAAAGATGATCTATAAGAAATATCACCTATCAAAACAAAATATCAATCACAACATATTGGGGTTAACATGTATGCGCGGAGCCCCGAACGACATAATGAGATTTGTCACAGGGGGCATTTACCAAAACAACTTCAATAACAAAAACATAAAGTGGGACAAGAACCAAAATCCAACCCTATAAGCTGGGAAGATAACTAAGCAACACAACCCCCCAAATTCCTAGAACGATTAAATCGGGCCCCTCGATGTAGCACAAGGTTATTCCTTAAAAAAAAGGGGAGTAGATGTTTAAAAAAGAAAGAGAAGGGGCCCCCTTACGGCGACGGAAAAAAAATAAAAAGCGGAAAAAAAAGGTCAATATTTCTGAAAAGCGTTTGGGGGAAAACTGGTCGAGAAAAGCAAGCATCGAACTTAAGCTAAAAGAATCCTTTAGGGGTCAGGGAAACGCGGGAAAACTAAAAGCCCAAAAAAAATGAAAGAAACCCAAAGTATTTTCTCCTATCCAAATCAAAATCGAGAAAACGCCTATGGCCCCCACAAACAAGATGGGGCCTACCAGATGACAACAAGGGAAAAAAGTGAGTACTAAATCCCCAAAATTTACTAGTTTTTACAAGCCCGTAAAACCCCTGAAAGGGGCGAAGATCAAAAAAGAATTTTTTAGCGAGACCCAAAAAATTTTATTAACAAAGCCTATCCCATGTTATCCTGACGCCCAAATGCTTCGAAAAGGCGATAAATGAATGCCCCTGCATCGCCCCCGGGCCCAAATCATGGAACTCGTGCTCGACGCAAAAGCCCCTACAGGCCTTTTTCCTCCTATGGAGAGGGGGAGGACACGGGGGGGTCCCACAGTTTTAAAAACAACAGACATAGCCCCCCTCCACAAAAGGGGCATAAAGCAAAACAAAGAAAAAACAGACCATAGCCTAAATCCCCTTCTAAAAATCTTTGAAAGGTCCAAGAAGCAAGATCACCACGCATCTAAAACCCATCAGTTAACAACCCCCGGGGGAACATGGGTTTAGAACGGTCGCTCCCGTCTGTTCCCCAAATATTTGGGCCACACACAAGGTCCTAAAGCATAGAAGACAAAAGAAAGCAGATGAAAAATACAATTTGCAAAGCTTCGACAAGTGTGCCCTGGGAAAAGCGACAAAGCGTGTAAAGGAATAACAGGAAAATCGGTCGATGGACTATAATTTTCCTCACTAACAGAACCAGAGAGTAGCGTAACAGAGTAAGTCCCAGGGACTACGGTGAAAAGTTGTTCCCCAAGCACAGTACTCGCTCCCCTCTTTTCCCCATCCTTATATCCACTAGCAAGGGGTCAGCCACAGCACCCTGTCTTTCCTTTTCAGAGAACCCAAAACTGAGACATGTCTTCCTTCAGACACGCAAAGCCCCAGGCAGACCAACCCAAAACTTTCAGGGGCTGCAGAAAAAAATATGAAGTTTTAACGATAGAAATTTCAATTTCCAGATATGGGAAAATGAGGGAAAATTAAATTTATAGAGTAAAAAAAAAATTCTGGCCACAAAAAGACGAAACCAAAAGTCAAAGACCTGGGAGTGATATGCGGAGGATTCCCTTCAAGGACCCCTAAATTTATCAAACGCATCTGAGAAAAAGGACAGGGTGGATAATGAGAACTTTAAAACTGGGGGCCAAACCTGATGACACCTTTCGGTCCTTTTTTTATTAGGGTGGAATATTGCTGCACCAAAAAGCACCCTTTTAAAGGGAGGTGAAATTGCCATAGAAAAAAGTACAGAGAACTTTCACGGCGGCCCTAACGGAGATAAAAAAACCCCAATTTTGGGAGCGCTTGAGGTTTTCTAAACCTTATTCCCTGGGAAGCAGAGGGGGGGAGATACATATTTTATCACCTGGAAAATCCTGAGGGACTAGTACCCAACTTTCACACGAAAATCACCCATACCAAAAACTTGGCAGACGATGCACCATCCCCCCCCAAAAAAACAGGGGTGTACTAGCACGTTAAGGACCATACAATAAGTGTCAGGGGGCCCCGCTGTTTTAACGCCCCCCCGCACAATAAGGGGGATTTCCAAAAAACCCCCGGGATCTTCAATGGGACGGACAAGCACCTAAAAAGTTTTGGATCAGCCCCGGGGTGGCCTATGTTTGGTTTTCGGCAGCCAAAGCAACAGCCTGGTTTTCAGGGTCTGATCCACCAGGAGGCCTGGTCTCAGACCGGGGCCCCGGGGGGGGTTTACCCCCGGAACCTCTCCGGGAAACTTCAGGTCAGTACTCTGGGGGCACGCCCCCCGGCCCATCCTTGACCAGGTCATGGGGGACCCGGGCCTTATCAAGTAGGGTGTTAAAGCTGTAACACGTGTCCAACGAAAGAACCACAGCCCGGTTATTTAATAATCAAAGGGAAAAACCTGAACTCGTAGGGGTCAAAAAGCGCTTGGAAATGGGAAATCAATCAGTTTTGACCAAGGAGGGAAGGGCCCGGGCCAATTTTTTCGGATCTTAAGAGCCCTTAAACATTTGATTATTACCCGAAAACTTATAATTAGTGGCTTCCCTTTTTTGCCCAAAAATTTTATTACATTAAACAAATATCTGTGTATACATTTTAAAAAAATAAAAATTTTAATTTTTAGTTTGGGTTTTATATTTTGGTTATTTCTCTTTTTTCAGAGAAAACATTTTGGCTGTAAAAAAAAGTAATTTAAGTATTTTACTGTTATAATATTTAATAAAGAAAAAAAATAATTTAGGTTTTATGTGACAATTCTGTATGGATAATTCACGTATATAATACCCCTCAAGGGAGGTTCCTTGACGCTGGTGAAGGGCTCTTGATCTGGGGAATTGGATCTGGGATCCAGTTCCCTGAATTAAGCCTGAATGGCTTCCAACCCCCCCCCCAGAGGCTGTATAATCCTACGGGTTTAGCGCTCCTCATGATTACAATAATAAACATGAATATAATAAAGTGCATTAGATTATAATGGGAAGGTTATACCTTAATAAGGTAGAAGCATAAGATAAATGACATGGTGAATATTTATAATGTTTCATATTATTTTTTATGTAAAATTCACATTTTTTGACAATTTTTTTAAGTTATGGGGAGACAAAGTATTTTTGTAATTATTATGATAGGTTTACCGCTTCCTCCAAAATATAACAATATTGAGTTTAATAACCAAAAAAAAAAAAAACACAAAATATCTGCTAATCTAACCTTATGGTAAACACATATTTGGACAATGTGTTATTATTAATAATAGTTTTAATATTATTATCATCATTATTATTATTATTTTAGATGAGAGAGTCTAGCTTGACCTGAGCCCAGAGTTGCGCAGACACTGTGTACACACCAAACAACAAGTTATTTTATGACAGTTGTAAGTGTTGGGCGCACCAGAGAACTAAGACGTTATGGTGGAGGTGAAGATATACACCCAGGAGTGCTGCAGTGCTGGGAAGACAGGTAAGTTAGCTGAATAAGCTTATAATAAGCAAGTGTACGAGTGAGTGGCCAGCCTTCCAGCGGCCGCTGTGGTGAACAAGTGACGCGCGGTATATTACACTCTGCGTATTAACATCACCAAACATCTTACTTTTACCTTATATCATCATTATATACATTTATCACCGGGTTAACTTTAATTGTCATATCGTACATACACACAGTATAGTTATACAACGGTGAGGAAAGATGATTTAAACAAACGGTAGGCTTAGAAAAAGTCATTATAGGCTTATTTTCATGGGTGAATCTCTTATTTGACCATTTTCCAGGTACCCGCTGACTAACTACTCTTCTCTGAAGGTTGGTCTTGGCGTCTCATGTGGGTTTAGATGATGTAGTTACCTTGTATATACAGAATACTAAAGAAATAAGACACTTTAACTATGGTTGTGTTGACGACGTAATAAACACACTTATTATTTATCCTTTTAATGGTTCTGTTAAACCTCGTGTTCATAAATTGCTTCTTGTCTATGTATTTTAGCAACAGCAACTTAAAATGGATATACGCTCATGTATACACCTTGACTCGTGCATACATATTACCATATATATACAATTCATAAGTACCCATTCACTCATACATGCCCATTTACCCTTATGTACCTATTCACCCTTATGTACCCATTCACCCATATGTACCCATTCACCCATATGTACCCATTCACCCATATGTACCCATTCACCCATATGTACCCATTCACCCATATGTACCCATTCACCCATATGTACCCATTCACCCATACGTACCCATTCACCCATATGTACCCATTCACCCATATGTACCCATTCACCCATATGTACCCATTCACCCATACGTACCCATTCACCCATATGTACCCATTCACCCATATGTACCCTTCACCCATATGTCCCTTTCACCCATACGTGACCCTTTCACCCATACGTACCCATTCACCCATACGTGCCCATTCACCCATACGTGCCCTTTCACCCATACGTGCCCTTTCACCCATACGTGCCCTTTCACCCATACGTGCTTCACATATACTCCATTTGACCCATACGTGCACCCTTTCACCCATACTCCTTCACCCATAGTGCCCTTCACCCATACGTTGCCTTTGCACATAAGTATCCATATATCCCTAGTTGCCTCATATGCACCCATGCTCATCCATTTACTAGGCTGACCCATGTGTAGCCCATGGTCACAAAATTTTTAGCAGAGGGTTTTGAACGCCCAGAATCCCTACTCTCACTGGCACAATGCTTCCTCCATCAATCTGGTATGTGGCATCGTGTCAGTGTAGAACAAATATTTTCCTCACTTGGACTGCTACATTCAAAGTTTCAAAATAGATTAGGCATAGAGAAAGCTTTAAAATTGGTGTTTCTCTATAAAATTTTGAACAAAGATTCAAATTTAGTTTGAATAATGATTTGTTATTATACTCTAAACAGTCTGCTTAATGCAGTATTGTGTTGTACTTTTTATCTCAAGATTCAATTCCCAGCATGGGTAGAAACATTGGGCATGTTTCTTTACACTGGTTGTCTGTGTTCACCCATCAGTAAAGTGGGTACCTGTGAGTTAGTAGACTGGTGCGGGTTGCATCCTGGGACAGTGACCTAATTTGCCCGAAATGCTCAGCATATTATTATTATTATAATCAAAAAAGAAGCGCTAAGCCACAAGGGCTATACAGCAATGCTCAGCATAACAAGTGGCTTTCTATAAAGTAGTATGTCATTGATGTCGGCTATGGCCTGTATACCTTGTATGTGTAGTAAATATATTATTATTATTATTATTATTATTATTATTATTATTATTATTATATTATTATTATTATTATTATTATTATTATTATTATTGTTGTTGTTGTTGTTGTTTTAAAGTTGCAGTACCAGCATAGTTTATAATTTTCATTGAACACAGTAAACAGTATAAGATTTTTTCTAATTAATTTTATTTTTTAAAAATCCAAATTTTTATTTCTTTGCAAAGGTTACAGTGTGTGATTTACATTTTATAAAATGTTGTTAAGTACAAAGAAAGCCACTAGCAGGCCTGAGCATTTTGGGCAGACTAATCCTAATGCTTACAGACTACTACTAGACATAGGTTATGGAGTGGTATATATTTTATTATTCATTATTTTACCTTTTAATAAAGAGAGGTAGCCAAAAATTTTGTAATTAATATTTATAGTAGTGAGGACTTTGTTCATTTGCAAAGTCTGATTATGCCTTAAATAAATTTTGTTATACAATTCTTATTATTTTACTTTATTTGATTTCTGCTCATAAATAATATGTAAAGTAACTGTTACATCAGGAGATGGAGGGAATATATAAATTTTTAAAATACAAGGGAATTAATTTTTTTGCCAGCATGCATGACTTTAAGATGTAGGTTCACAAAATTAACCATATTATGAAGTAGATTATGTATCCATATACTTAGTCAAAGCTTCAGATTCTGAGATTTGCCAGGCATACATTGGCTGCAGAGGTTATTCAGTCGATGTGAGCCTCTGGCAATATGGTAAACACTATGCTTACTCCCAGGTCCTAATTTTGAAAGAGTTCAGCAGCCTATCCCTCCCCTCCCAAGTCTATAATCTGCATTTCTTGGTGTTGAACTCAAGCAGCTACTTGTCTGACCAACCCTACAGTTTGTCCAGATCCTTTTGTAGCCTCTTTCCCACCTTCAGCTGTCTGTCGTCTCCTCATTACTTTTACATCATTAGCAAATAGAGATATTTCTGACTTTACTCCATTTGGTATATAGTTATCATAAACCAGAAACAGCACTGGTCCTAATACAGATGGTTTATATTTGTGTAGTCATCTATACAGTGGTCCCTCATTGTTCTTAATTAATCCGTTCCCGGAGCCATTACTATAAACGAAATTTACAATTTACGAATCAATTTTCCCCATAAGAAATAATGTAAATACAATTAATCCGTTCCTGACACCCAGAAGTATTAAAACAAAAAAATTTTTAACATGAAATATGCATGTAGTACATAAACAATACAATGGAAAATGATGAATGAAACATTAACAGCATAACACTTACCTTTATTGGAGATTCTTCTTAGTGTATGGGAGACTGGAGGAGGAGAGAGAGTGGATTGTTTATAGTTTGGAAGGGGAATCCCCTTCCATCAACCTCAGGTACCATTGCTTTTCTGGGGTTGCTTCTCTTCTCTGTTTCTTAATGCTACTAGGACCACCTTGAGAGTCACTGGAGTCCTGTCTCACAAAATAACTGTGGAGAGAGCTCTGTTTCTGGCGTCTCTTTAACACTTCCCTAAAATGGCCCAAGACTTTGTCACTGTACATGTTGCCAAACCTGGCTTGCAACAACTTGTTAGGGTGATGTTTCTCCATAAAGCTTTCCATCTTACCCCACATAGTAAAAATCTCTTTAATTTCTGAAGAAGGCACCTTCTTCCATCTCTCTTCCTCCTCCTCTGCAGCAAGATTCTGAGCTGCGATGTGTTGCTCTTCCTGCGGAAGCTCTTGCAGCTCCTCAGTGGTGAGCTCTTCATTGTGGTCTTCCACCAATTCTTCCACATCCTCCAAACTCACATCCAACCCAATGGAACTCCCCAGTGCCACAATTGATTTTACAATAGACATAGGCTCATTAGGGTCAGTCCCAAATTCTTCAAAATCCCTCTTGTCGACACAATCTGGCCACAATTTTCTCTAGGCAGAGTTCATAGTCCTGGTAGTCACTCCCTCCCAAGCCATACCTATAAGGGTTATGCAGTGGAGGATGCTGAAGTGTTCTCTCCAAAATTTCCTTAGGGTCAAGTGAGTGTCTGTGGTCACAGTCAAGCACCTGTGAAACATTGCTTTTGTGTAGAGTTTTTTAAAGTTTGCAATAACCTGCTAGTCCATGGGTTGGAGGAGAGGAGTGGTATTCGGGGGCAAGAACTTTACTGTGATGAACCCAAACTCCTCGAAAATTAGGTCATCCAAGTTTGGAGGATGAGCAGGTGCATTGTCCATTACTAGCAGGCACTTGAGATCCAATTTCTTTTCCAGGAGATACTCCTTCACACAAGGGCCAAACACTTCATTGAACCACTCGACGAAAATTTCCCTCATGACCCATGCCTTACTATTAGATTTCCAAAACACACACAATTTACTCTTCATAACATTGTTTTTCCTGAACACACTGGGATTTTCAGAATGGTACACTAGTAATGGCTTCACTTTGAAATCCCCACTAGCATTAGCACAGAACATTAGCGTCAGCCTGTCTTTCATAGGCTGCTTGTGTCCTGGCATTGCCTTTTCCTCTTGTGTAATGAAGGTCCTCTTTGGCATTTTCTTCCAAAAGAGGCCTGTTTTGTCACAATTGAACACTTGTTCAGGTTTCAGTCCTTCAGCCTCTATGTATTCCTGGAATTCATGCACATATTTTTCAGCCGCCTTGTGGTCCAAACTGGCAGCCTCGCCATGCCTTGCCACACTGTGTATGCCAGTACTGTTCTTAAATCTCTCAAACCAGCCTTTGCTGGCCTTAAATTCACTCACTTCACCACTATTTGCAGGCAATTTCTTTACCAAATCTTCATGCAACTGCCTAGCCTTTTCACAAATAAACGAAGTCATAAGAGTATCTCCTGCTAATTGTTTCTCATTTATCCACACCAATAATAACTTCTCAACCTCTTCCAGTACTGGTGATCTCATTTTTGTCAGCATAGTTACTCCCTTTGCAACAACAGCATCCTTTATTTAATTTTTCTTGGCCACTATGGTTGTGTAGGGTTTCTTATACATCCTGGACAGTTCGGCCACACTTGTACCACTTTCATATTGTTCAATGATGGTTTTCTTAAATTCAATCGTATTTCTCACCTTCTTTACCACAGGCTTGGCACTAGGAGCTTTCTTTGGACCCATGGTAGCTTATTTAGTACTTGCAAGCACTAAAATAAATGGAATATTATGAAATATTTCGCTGGAGCACGTGAGGGGACCTTCGCTCACTGGTAAACAATGCCAGACTGGCTGCCGCCCTGGCTCACGCCGTGGGTACGCGTCCCGGACGAACTACGACTCGCGAGTCAACCTATGAAAAGCGAGTCCATGTTTATACGAAAGTACCTCTATGATTGGCAAATTTTACGATTGCCGGGAGCTACGAAAAGCAGGGGACCACTGTATTTGGTTGCAGAAGTTGAGTGTCAGCCCTTGGCCCTGCCTCTTCACTGTGTGCGTGCGTCTGTGGGCGTGCGTGCGTCTGTGGGCGTGCGTGCGTCTGTGGGCGTGCGTGCGTCTGTGGGCGTGCGTGCGTCTGTGGGCGTGCGTGCGTCTGCGTGCGTGCGTCTGTGGGCGTGCGTGCGTCTGTGGGCGTGCGTGCGTCTGTGGGCGTGCGTGCGTCTGTGGGCGTGCGTGCGTCTGTGGGCGTGCGTGCGTCTGTGGGGGGTGTGTGCGTGCGTCTGTCGTGCGTGCGTCTGTGGGTGCGTGCGCGTTGTCTGTGCGTGCGTGCGTCTGTGTGCGTGGTGTCTGTGTGCGTTGCGTGCGTCTGTGTGCGTGCGTGCGTCTGTGTGCGTGCGTGCGTGTGCGTCTGTGTGCGTGCATGCGTGTGCGTCTGTGTGCGTGCGTGCGTCTGTGTGAGTGCGTGCGTGCGTCTGCGTGCGTGCGTCTGCGTGCGTGCGTCTGTGTGCGTGCGTGCGTCTGTGTGCTTGCGTGCGTCTGTGTGTGTGTGCACGTCTGTGTGTGTGTGTCTGTGTATGTGTATGTGTGCGCGCGCTTGCAGGCTTGTGCGTGTGCATGCATGCATGCGTGCGTGCGCATTTGTGTGTTTGTTTTTTGTTTGCTTTGTAAAATTGGTATTGAAATGATGAATTTGTCAAAAATCAAATAGTATATAAATTATCTCTAATCCTTATCTCTTTTCAGATTTAATTAAATGGTAACATGAACAGATGCATGATCTTCAGTGGTATAAAAGACAGCCAGATGGAATTATTATTGGAATCAGATGAGGAAGATGCCAGTCTTCTTGAAGAAATGGAACGGCAAGCAGCAGTACAATCAGTTAGATCCCCAAGCCCAGAGGGCCTCCTGCAGTTGAAAAGCGTTTGTCCTGATTCTCCTAAGGATTACGAGATTAGAGACTTTTCTGGAATTGAAGGGGACCCTTCAGAAGATTTTGCTAGTCGTGATATGAATAAAAATGGAATAATTGGAGGAAAGTTAAATGTTGAATGCCCAGACAGTTTTGTCACTGCCACATCTGATGAAGAAAAGCTGATGGATGAGCAACAAGAAAGAAGTAAAGGTGAAGCACACCAAAAAGATTTTGTGGAAGGTCTCTTTCAGAGTCTTGCATGCACCAGTACAGAAGCTACCATAGATACAATACAAACAAATAATCCTTTGCCTTTGATGGAGTATACCATCGATGGAATACAAATCCTAAGATTAGATATATCAACAAATGATCTTCTTTTGGCAAAATCTGCTGTAGCTCAGAAGTATCAGTCTCGCCAGATTGAATCTACAAATAACTCAACTGGTCCCCCTCAGTTAAAAGGGCTTCCAGCATTGGAAGCCCCAGCTGAGGAAAGAATAAGCAGTAATACATTACCAAAAGATAGTCAGTCTTTAAGTTCCATATGTGCTGATGGACATGAAGAAAAAAGTTCAAGATCCGTTTTTAAGTCGCAGCAGTATAGTTGTACAAAAAGCTTATCAGGCCTCCAGCATAAATCAAAGTCTGAGGTAAAGAAGACAAATAGTAGAAAGAGAAAACTTGAAGTTATATATAAGCAAAAATCAGGAAAGAACAAATTTATTTCTCCAGTTATAGAAAAAATACCATTACTTTCAAATATGAATGAATATGAAGTCATTCATTTTCATTGCACATATTGTGACTTTAGGTGAGTACAGTATGTAAAATGTTACATTATTATTTACATTCACAATAGATTTCCACCGCTTTCTCTGTCTTGATTAAACTGCATTATTTGCATCATTTTGACTACTTAATTGTTTTGGTAATGCTGTTTAATTAGATTTTATAGGCAAGCATATTTTGAAAAAGGAACAGTACAGGAATTGAAATGCTGCTAGTTTCTATATTAAAACACTACTAGTTTCTATATTATAAGTTGAGCATCTTGTGAAATTGTGTATTTGTAGCTACAGGAGTATATGTATGCTAAGGTGTCTTTCTTTTTTCAACAAACCGACTGTTTCCTACCGAGGCACCGTGGCTCAAAAAGAAAAACAAAAGTTTCTCTTTTTAATTTTAGTAATGTAAACAGGAGAAGGGGTTACTAGCCCCTTGCTTCTGGCATTTTAGTTGGCTTTTATGACACACATGGCTTACGGAAAAGAATTCTGTTCCATTTCCTCATGGAGATAAGTGGAAATAAACAAAAACAAGAACTAGCAAGGAAATAGAAGAAAACCTAGAAGTGTGTGTATATACAGCCTCTCCTCACTTAACAACGGAGTTCTGTTTTTAAGACCACGTCGGTAAACAAATTCATCGATAAGTGTGGAGCATACTATAATGGTAGTGGGTTTGTGTCGACTATCTTTGAGATTGTTTTAATGTCACCTTTGCACCATTTATAACATTCCTGGTATATTTTTAAATGTTTATACAGTAGTGTACTGTATATTGTAATAAACAGAATAGAGGAGATCAGCTCTAATATACTTTATTAAGGTATGCACACTGGTCAGAGAGCCTGTCCTAAGTCCTAAGCGTCAGTAAATGAGTACGTCACAAAGTGAGGAGAGGCTGTATATGCTTGTACATGCAGTTGTAGTGTGGCCTAGGTGTAAGTACAAGTAGCAAGATGTACCTGAAATCTTGCAAGTGTATGAGACAAAAAAAAAGACACCAGCAATCTTACCATCATGTAAAACAATTACAGGCTTCGAGTAGGGAGCTGTTCGAGTACTGAAGTTCTACTGTACTTGATGTTTCTTGAATGATAGTTTCTATCTTGCTCATCCATTTTCTAGGTATGCAATGCATGTACAAGTCAGTTTGTATTTCTACACAAAGCACACTAATTAAAGATTACTATCACCATGTATTTGAGAAACAGAGGTACTGTATACAATTGAAATAACTATATTATGGGAAGTACAGTGCCTGCACTCTGAAGGAGGGGTGTTAATGTTGCAGTTTAAAAACTGTAGTGTAAAGCACCCTTCTGGCAAGACAGTGATGGAGTGAATGATGGTGAAAGTTTTTCTTTTTCGGGCCACCCTGCCTTGGTGGGAATCGGTCAGTGTGATAATAATAAAAAATTATGTATAACAAGATAACACTATTCAGATGCATGAAATTAAACCAAATGTTTATTTCCTGAAAGTTTTATTGAATTATTTTGATTATTAAAATAGGGGTATCATTGGATACAGTGGAAATATGAAGGTCGAAAAAATATTGGTGCTTTGAAGCATGAGGTTATAAGAGAGAAGGCAAATAGCTACACAGCGCTATAGTATCTTTCGTTTTCTAAAACTACAGACAAAGGGCACATTGAAAATATAAGCATTTGTCATCCCAGAAGGTAATCTGAGTAACTTGTTATATGTATCTTTGCCATCTTTATTCAATCGTTCCACAGAACTGAAGGTCATTGAATCAATTTAAATAATATGTAATTCTTTTGTAATTAACCTACCTACTTACTAGCTACCATTCTTATTGTATTTATCATAGTAGTTAATTACACAAGAAGTCCTACTTAATAGGCTATGTCTACTTCTTAAGTAGCTTTTAAGCCTTATGATTAGTTACCCAAAATGCATTACATAATTACCAGCTTTGTTTTGTGCCTACTGGTATACTAATACATTTAAACTAGGTAATTTGTATGGCTTAAAGATATAAACTAATTATTATTGTCATCTGGCTCTTGGACCAAATCACACTTAAGCATTTATAATACAGTATTCATAAGTAGAGTGGAACCTGAGTTTTCATATGCCCCAGTTTTTGTAGGATTCAATTTTTGGCGACTTTTTTTGTCAAAATTTTGTCCCCGTTTTTGTACGTCCTCTCGGTTGAAAATGGTCCATACCAACTGCATAGGCATGACTTGGCCACTCAAGCACCCACACAAAGCATCCCAAGCATTCGTGACTCAGCCTGCCTTTGCCTCTCGTTGAGTGAGCATCACCCCGCGTGTTCAGCTAAAACATTTCGTAATAATCCTTTGTTTTTTGTGCTTGTTTATTGAGTGCGACTGCTAAATAAGCCACCATGGGCCCAAAGAAAGTTCTGATTGGTACCCCTTTGATAAAGAAGGCAAGAAGCATGATAGAATTCAAGAAAGAACTTGTAGCAAAGTGCGAAAGTGGCGTATGCCTGGCTGATTTTGCCAGGATGTACGGGAAGTACATCCTGGCGAAATGTACTTCCCCTATCCGGGGAAGTATCCCCGGATAGGGCCTTGATACCTGAAGTCCTTATGGAAGGGGATTTCCCTTCCAAACAATAACCTCTCCTCCTCCCTCTCCCCTCCTTGCTGTCTTCCATACACCAACAAGAGTCTTCAGTAAAGTTAAAAGTGATGTTAAATGTTCATTTATGCATTTCATTAGTCATGACTTAAGAAATCGTAATGACACGATTGCAAATAAACCATACCCCCGGCCGGGATTGAACCCGCGGTCATAGTCTCAAAACTCCAGCCCGTCGCGTTAGCCACTAGACCAGCTAGCCACAATAAGATTCATCCAACTAGGTATATTTCTACACCATAGGAAGGTTAGCACAGGCACCTCTGTGACCACAAATGCAAGTTTTTACAGACGAATCTCCAGCTAGCGTGGCCGTGACGAACTCTAGCTCAAGTCCCTTCACTGCCGTCAACATGGCTAGCTGGTCTAGTGGCTAACGCGACGGGCTGGAGTTTTGAGACTATGACCGCGGGTTCAATCCCGGCCGGGGGTATGGTTCATTAGTCATTTATTTTTCATTGTTTTCTGTATGTAAAACTATAGTTATTCTCTATAAAATGTGTTTTTTGTTAATATTTTTGGGTATATGGAACAGATTAATTGGATTTGCATTACAGTATTTCTTATGGGAAATATTGCTTCAGTTTTTGTACGATTCGATTTTCGTCAGACTTTTTAGAACGGGTTAATCATGAAAACCGAGGTTCCACTGTACTATATGCATTTCTGTTATTGATTAAAAATATTGTTTGTTAAATTGTTTAACAAGTCTTTAACCTTCAATTTCAGATGTCCTTTTAGGAAAGAGAATGTTAATGACATTGTTGAACATATTACTCCACGGGAAAGGTTTCATCACCTCCAAAAAATACCTAAGAGGCTAAATAGCTTCAGGGAGAACGTGAAACTGAGTATAATGATTGCGAAGAACAAATCTAAAGCGCAAGTAAGTACTTATGAGGATGAGAGGGGGAGGTGGTAACTTTGCTGTGGCATAATTCTCATGTATAATAATTTTTAATGAAATTTTTGTATGCAGTACTGCAGGTCTATTGTTTCAACATTGCACTATGAGGAGAACTTAGCTATTTCTTTGCCTTGACTCAAAAAAAAAAAAAGTCATGTATGATTATTTTCAATGAAAGTTTTGCTTATTATTATACCTGTAATGGATATTGGTAAAAGTATTTCCTTTTTTAGGAGTCACCCTTCCTCAGTGGGAGACAGCCAGCATGTAAATTTTTATCTTGATTGTTCATTATAAAGTTTTCCTTGTTTTATGAAAACTCTGTTTTCAGGTTCGTTTTTTGAGTCGTATACAGTGCAGCAAGTGTGGCCAACAGTTACCTTTGGACGTCGCTCGCTGTGATGAACTTGCCTTGCATTATAGCTGGTGTAGAAAGTTATTTCGTGATGACAGGTTTATGTCCTGCCCATACTGTAATGAATTCATCCATCGTAGTAGTCTTAAAAAACATTTTAGCCTAAAATCAAAGAAACAGTGTACTATGTATGTGGCTTCAACTCTTCAGTTAATGTCTTGTATGTGTAAAGAATATGCCGAAAAACACCGGCCTTTTTGCATTGTGTGTAATGAAAAGTGTTGGTCGTATATAGGACACAGAGCAGAATTAAATCCTGTTTGTGAAGCTTGCAGAATCAATATTATCAGTGGAAACACAACCAAGTTGAAGAATCGAGAGATGGCTGCGTGTGCAATTTGTAGCCATCAGTGTTCTAAGAAATTTGTTACTTACTGGGCTAGTGAACTGGAGGCTCTTTTCATTGGAGAGCATTGTATTAAAAAGTTAAAAGACCCAATAACACAGGAGGTAATAAAATTAGCAGATGCTACAGAAGCTAATGTTAGGAAACTTGTGGAGATGGCTGTTGTAACTGATCAGCTTAGCAAAAACTTGAGGATCCAGACTTGTAGTAAATCATATGCTGCCATGCATTTGAATGGTACCAACATTAGCAACTCGAAGGGATTTATTATTAGTAATTGTGGTAAATTAAAGAAAAATCAAACTGCAAATCATTGTGACAAAATTTTAGAGAAAAGTGAATCGGTAACATCTGTGGAAAATTGTGATCTTGCTGTTCCCAACAAAGCTGTTAACGGACGTTTCATCCCAATACTAGGATCTTTTCGAATCACAAATTGTGATAATCCACTTCCATTTGCAAAACTATCAGCTATTTCAGATAATACAAATACTTCTGATACTGTAACTTTCAGACCTATCTCAAAGGTGGATAATCAGGATATTGAACAAAGTGGAGTGCCATATAGTCTTCTCTTGGCAAATAACTCTTCCAAAATTGTTTTTAGGAGGTGCTTACCTAATATCACAGAAAATGTAGTAAGCCCAAACACAGTTTTCAAAGCACTTGATTCTTTCAATGAAACATCTAAATCAGTGAATAAAAGTGTACCAAATACAGACACTGTTCATTATAAAGAAAATACAAAATATGTACCGGAAATTGCTAAAATGACTTCATCCACCAGATGTGAATCAGAAGGAAATGTTCTGTCAAATGTTTTCCAAATCGACTGAATCTTCAGTCGTTTTGGGAATTAAGTTCCAAAGTTGTTGCAAGTAAAGTCATCACAAGTTCCAAACCTGTTGCAAGTAAAGTCATCACAAACTCTTCACCTGTGAAATATGTTGTAAAACTCTTAAAAAGTTCTGATGTACAACAGGACACAACTAAGGATGAGAAAAATGAAGGCAATGCCAATCACATAATAATCAAAACTTCATCAAGTAATTCAGTAAAGAAAGGTTGTCAAGTAGCTCCACCAAGAATAGCCCAAGTAATTAAAACTTCTGATGATTTATTCACTAATGAATCAAATATAAATGATAGATTACTCTCGAGAGCAATAATGAAACCGATCTCGACGAATATTGAGGATACAGAAGTAGTAACTCTGGATTAGCATTATAGTATTCATCATTGAATCTTAAATGCATTCCACTTGTTTTACTGTTTTTTGACATTCTGTACTTTGTTTACCCAGAATCTTGTGCAATCTGTTATATATGAAAAGAGCATATATTATATGCATATTAACAGTACAAAAGCTGCATACTACTAAACTCTTCTTGTAAGAGCATAATGCTCATGAAAGGGTGTTGTACTGTAAGTACAGTATTGTAGTATATTTTCCTCTTGAAAATAGCAAAATTGATCAGAAATTTATGTGTTAACTCTATGAAGCTTGCAGGAAATTCTACTGTTAAGTTTTATGAGAAACTTAAAATACACAGCAGGGAAAGTGTTTCTTCAGTTTTATATAAAATTGGGTATACATCATGGCTGTTAGGGTGCCAGGCAGTGATGTACTGAAGGAATTAAGAGTATTAAGCTAAACAGGCTTATTAGCAAATGGGTAAGCTGAATGATGCCTAATAAATTTAGTACTTTCATGAATATTATCATCATCTCACAGCATGATAATCACAATCCCATTTGAGAAAAGGGTGATTGGGAATAATAATATACTTGAAGCAACTGAGTATCACAATTAAACTAATTAGACTTAGAAGTGATGAAGTAACATGCTTTGAATCTGCATTGATAGCAGTTAATGAAAAATATATTAAAGTATAGAATACTACACGCTGTCAAAAACTCTTGCTTTTTACAATAATTACTGGAAGATTGTTTAGCAGAAGTGTTGCTCTGTCCCAGAGGTACACAGTTATTGGTCCAAAAAGCTACCCTTGAAGTTGCTTTGGTAAGAATTGAATAAACTGTCCTCAGCAAGTGGTATTTTTTTCTCGTTTCCATAGTCACTCTGAAACTATATAACATTTTGCTGTGGATGAGCCTAGTCAAGTTTAATGAAAGATAATGAAGGGCAAGGTGGTGGAGAGAGGGTGGTTATCTTGTATCATGTTAATGAGTATCTTGGTTCTGTCCAAGAGATGCTTTACAAATAGTGGAACAATGTTAAATGCCTTTTAATTTGTTTAAGGATGTTAGAATTGATTTAACATCTTCCTTGGAACCATTTTGTTTCGTGTTTATCATCTGTGATGATTAACTCGTCTCCATTCCAGATCATGTTGTAGGCATGTTTATTGCAATTATGTTTAGTTAGCATTACCTACATGAAAGCTTATCTCTGCTTGATAAACTTATAGTGCATTTGTTTTTGGCATACTGTACTATACTGGATCCTAATTGTTTTAAGTACTTTTAGGTACAAATTGGACATTCCTTTACACAGGACATATGGCCTTGTTATAATGTTAATAAGAAGGGTGTAAATATGGTGTTCTGCACAAGATATGTTTTGGACCAGTAATTCACTCAGGACATTACCTACCATTGAGAAAATCTAGCAATAAATTAATTATTCTTATAAGTGTCACTCTTTGAATAAAGGAATAGATAGATAATGGTGTATATTAAATAATGGGATAAAAGAAAGTGGAACTGAAAATGCAGTACTTAAATATTCTAATTCATTTTATTTAAAGACTGATATAGAAAGGTAAAAATAACCTCTGGCTCAAGAACATGATGTGCATTAATTTAATGACAAATAGAGAATTGATACTTATGTATAATGTGCCAACACTTCACAAATAATAGTCCTTGTGGCTTAGCGCTTCTTTTTTGATTATAATAATAATAATAATTCACAAATAATTATTTTTTATATTACTATTATTTTTTTTTTCCAACAAGTTGGCCGTCTCCCACCAAGGCAGGGTCACCCAAAAAGAAAGAAGATCCCCCAAAAAGAAAATACTTTATCATTCAACATTTTCACTTCACTCACACATAATCACTGTTTTTGCAGAGGTGCTCAGAATACAACAGTTTAGCAGCATATACGTATAAAGCTACACAACATATCCCTCCAACTGGCAGTTTGGTATTATTTATTAATAATGTCTGGGGTTGGCACAGCCTTTGTGTTAAATTCATGAGCCTGTTTGTCTAATTATTGGAAATGTTATGATTGTTTAGCCCAAAATTTATATATTGCAAAGTCATTCAATATTCTGATTATCATTTAAAAGTTTTCATTACCGTATGTTCTATGTATATAATGAATTGGCATAATATGCTAACTGCTAAACTTATATGAGAAACTTTATAACATAATTTTTAATGTATCATTAAAAACATTAAGATATTATTATTAGGGTTGGCATTTTATTTTGTATTGTAATCTAATTAATATGCAGAAGTAAGATCGTGTAATTTTTGTAATGAGAATCTGTAATGGTATGACAAAAATGGCTGGTCAGGCCTCCAAGTGTGATGTGTTACCATTAAAATTATTATTGTATGACCTCTGAATTTCCTCGTATACATGAACGATCTTTCAAATGCATCCCAACAACTTGGACCTGTTTTTTTTGCAGACCCAGCTTTTGTCATCTCCCATCCAAATACAAACTCTCTCAATAACACTGTTAATGAGGATCTCGTAAAGATATCTATCTGTGTAATTACTAACAAATTCACTCTTAACCATGACATGTCCTTTTATGTGATGTTTGGGAACGGAGCTACAAATGTCCAACTAAATTTTATGATTAATGGTTCTCCCATTGCAAGACAAAATGAAGAAAAATTCTTAGGTCTGTTCCTTGATAACTTGAAACTCAGCATCCACATTCAGCACATGAAAAATATCCAAATCAGTTGGCATACTATCTAAGATATGTTACTATGTACCTGAAGCAGCACTACTTCCATATACAGTGGTCCCTCGTTTTTCGTAATCAATCCGTTCCTGGAGGAGCTACTGTAAACGAAATTTAAGATTTGCGAATCGATTTTCCCCATAAGAAATAATGTAAATACAATTAATCCGTTCCTGACACCCAGAAGTATTAAAACAAAAAAAATGTTTACATGAAATATACATGTAGTACATAAACAATACAATGGGAAATGACGAATGAAACATTAACAGCATAACGCTTACCTTTATTGGAGATTCTTCTTAGTGTATGGGAGACTGGAGGAGGAGAGAGATTGGATTGTTTACAGTTTGGAAGGGGAATCCCCTTCCAGCAACACCTCGGGTACCAATTGCTTTTCTGGAGTTATTTCTCTGTTTCTTATGCCACTAGGACCACCATGAGTCACTGGAGTCCTGTCTCGCAAAATAACTGTGGAGAGAGCTCTGTTTCTCGCGTCTCTTTAACACTTCCCTAAAATGGCCCAAGACTTTGTCACTGTACATATTTCTCACCTTCTTTACCACAGACTTGGCACTAGGAGCTTTCTTTCGAGCCATGGTAGCTTATTTAGTACTTGCAAGCACTAAAATGAGTGGAATATTATGAAATATTTCGTAGGAGCACTTGAGGGGACCTTCACTCACTGGTAAACAATGCCAGACTGGCTGGGTAGGGAGGCCTCCCTGGCTCACACCGTGCTTATGCGTCCCGGACAAACTACTATTCGCGAGTCAACCTTTGAAAAGCGAGTCCATGTTTATACGAAAATACCCCTATGATTGGCGAAATTTACGATTGCCGAGAACTACGAAAAGCGAGGGACCACTGTACTGTAATCTAATCTAATCCCTACCTCACCTATACTATTTGTACCTGGGGGATCCACAACAGCACATCACCTAAAGCCAATAATAACTAAGAAACTGTACAAATGATTGCCCAGTCTAGTGCCAGACAGCACACGCCCCCCACTCTTCAACAGTCCAAACTTGCTTAATATACGTAAAACTCACTTGTACTACTGTGCATACTACATATACGTGACAATCATTTTTAATGTCAATCCTGCTCTGAGACTTTGATAGCTGCAACAGAATTTGAAGGGTATCACACCAGACACAAATTTGATATTCCGTATGTCCAAATCAACTTTTGGAAAAACTCGATGTACATAAAAAGACAAGGTCTGGAACTCTGCCTAAAGATTCCAGATGCTTCCTGTCTGTTAATCACTTCAAAACTACTGTTAAAAAACACCACCTTACTTTAATGTGATCCTAACAACAATTCATGCCAAACAAATCCTGAAACCTTGTCTTTAATCCATTATTGTCCCTGTTCTTGTGCCATCTTTCCTCAACTCATTTATGCCTAGAATCTAGAATGGCATTAGTTCCTTGTTTCACTTCATGTAATTAGTTTCATCATTAATGTATAGTTAGTTTAGATATTTATTAAATTAAAGAATGCCATTAATATACACATTATAAACTAAGTTTTCTTATTCTCGTGTACCATTTATGTATCATTGTTTAGTAATGTTAATTTTAAGGGTACCTCCGGGTTTAGCGCTTCCCCCTTGATTATAATAATAATAATGATGACCCTTATGGGTTTAGTGCTTGGTTATGATTATTATAATACCTGGCATGCCTTGTATATCAAGGGACTTTCTATAATGTATGTAGTTTATTCATGTCAGTAACTAATTATATTCTGTACAGTGTGCCACTTTGTAGAAAGTAAGTTGTTTGTTTTAATTATTAAGAGGGGCTGGTGGTATGGTTATGTATACATGGCTAATATGACTAAGGAACAATTAACCCTTAAACTGTCCAAACGTAGATCTACGTTCACGTGCGTAGCGCTCCGACCTTGATTTTCCCCATTTGAAAGCATGTAAAAAAAAAAAAAAAGCAGATCTACGTTTGAAGCCCCCTGCATGTGGACGTAGATCTACGTTTGGACAGTTTAAGGGTTAAACAATTACCTATTACATTATGGGGATCCCTTTCAAGGGATGCCTTGATGCTGGAGAAAGGCTCTTGATGCCAGAAATTAGGGCTACCCTCCCCTCTTTCACGCATAAATGACTACCTCTCATTCCCAAGGTGATGGGTTTAGCACTTCCCCAAAAGTATAATAATACAAATAGGAGTGGTAGGGTTTTAAAACTTGGTAACATGCAGTAAACTCTCAATTTAATAGACTAATGAGGAGGAATGAGTGGTCAGTAATGGTGATTGTAGTGGTATGAGATGAGAATGTTTTGTCATGATTGTAACATTAATGGATATTCCTGTGATCAACAGACTCTGGTGTTTCCGAATCTGCTAACCCAGTGGATCTTGTCCTGTATTCCCGAACTCTGTTAAATTAAGAGTTTATTTTTAATATGACTAATCAGATGGAGACAATGATGGATTATTATATAGTTGAAATTGACAAAATAATTACCTATTAGACAGTAATAATATGATACTGTAATAACTCGTACCTAAGTTAAAAGTCAGACATTATGATGCTGGTGTATGACCCATAAACTTGTTCTACACTTGAATCATAGGGTGGATAATGAGTTAGGTATTCAATGCCTGTGCTTCTTATCATATATACACATTCATATTTTTTTTTTTTTTTATCATGGGCCATCTCCCACCAAGGTAGGGTGCACCACCCACCCCCTCCATAAAAAATCACTATAACTGTCTTGCCAGAGGCATGTAGGTACTACAGTTCAGATGCCCCTCTAAACTGCAAATATCCCCACTCCTCCTTTAGAGTACAGGTGATGCACTTTTGACCTCTAGGACTCGAGTACGGCTAACCAGTTTCTCTGAATCCCTTCATAAGACGTTACCTTCCTTACATACCAACAGGTAGTCAGGTCCCAAAAACCATTTGCCTCCACTCCTGTCTAACATGCTCACACATATTTTATATTTAATCTACATGAATTTTTTATATATGATGGCATTAATATAAAATTTACAGTTTCTGTTTTAATGGATAATTTTTTAAGCTGTTCAAAAAAGATATGCCAAGAGTATATCACAGTAAATAAAATTGAAATATTTTAGCAAAAATTCTAAAAAATTATATTAGTATATACATATACGTAAAACATATTTATAAATTAAGATTTTAATTTTTCTATATTTTTTGAATAAAAATAATAGTACAAAATGACTGAGTGACATTCCTAACCTTTGTACTGTTGTACTGTAATGGTAAATGACTCGAGAAATCGTAATGACATGATTGCAAACAAACCATACCCCCGGCCGGGATTGAACACGCGGTCATAGTCTCAAAACTCCAGCCCGGCGCGTTAGCCACTAGACCAGCTAGCCACAATAAGATTCATCCAACTAGGTATATTTCTACACCATAGGAAGGTTAGCACAGGCACCACTGTGACCACAAATGCAAGTTTTTACAGATGAATCTCCAGCTAGCGTGGCCGTGACGAACTCTAGCTGGAGATTCGTCTGTAAAAACTTGCATTTGTGGTCACAGTGGTGCCTGTGCTAACCTTCCTATGGTGTAGAAATATACCTAGTTGGATGAATCTTAGTGTGGCTAGCTGGTCTAGTGGCTAACACGCCGGGCTGGAGTTTTCAGACTCTATGACCGCGGGTTCAATCCCGGCCGGAGGGGTATGGTTTGTAATGGTAAATGTTTTGCACTTTTTGTGAATGTAATATTTCTTTGAAAATCAAATTTCACTTGTGATGTAACTTAATTTTAGTTAGTTAGGCCTGAAGGTTATCTATCTGAAAAATGTTTTTCCTAAGGGTAGTCTCCATGTGGTGAGGGGATTATGATCTTCATGCTTGCACACTGGCTAGGCCTTACCCTGCCACGGTGGGAATAGCTGGAAGACTTGCCAAAAGTTGCCCAGTATTTGTTATGCATGAAGAGGAAGAAAGACTATTGTATTTGGATTAAAAACTCAAGCATTGTGGTATACATGTATTTCCATTGAGGTTTTTATATGCTCCCAAGATGTGACCCACGACAGATGACTATAACTCCTAGGTATCATACTGGGCCCCATGGCCTGGCTGGCAAAGCTCTCGCTTCACATGCCGAGTGTCCAGGTTCGATTCCCAGCGGGGTGGAAACATTCCACGCATTTCCTTAAACCTGTTGTCCTGTTCGCCTAGTAAGTAGGTACCTGGGTGTTAGTTGACTGGTGTGGGTTGCATCCTGGTAGACAACATTGAGGACCCTAATGGAAATAAGACAGATTCCCTTGATTACACACTGCCTTTTTTGGGTTATCCTGGGTGACTAACTCTGGAGTTAAAAATCCCAACAAAAAATCTTATCTACTGTTTTTTGATGCTGTGTGACCCTTGTAGGTTTAGCACTTCTATTTGATTATAATAATAATACTGTTTCTTGATGCCAGTGGGCTCCTGATTGCCTCACTATCCAGATACTGTATAACCCTAGTGGGTTTAGTGCACCCATGTACATTAGAATAATTTTTATATACTCTTAGGTAGGTGTTAGTAGACTGCCCATTGTGCTGGTGAAAGCTCTTGATCCAAGCAATTGTTACCTTCCTCAGGTCAAACCTCATTGTTTTTAATTCTCCAGGTACTGTATGATCCAGAAAACGACACATGAGCAAATGCTTGAGACATTTCATTTGGAAATATTTGTTCTGGGACCTTGTTCTTTATGATCCACAGACACATGAAACAGTATATAAAGTCAAAGTATTTGTAAGAAAAAGGTTCGTCAGGTTAAGCTTGTAGAAGAGAGGTAATCTGACAGCTGTGCTGTGATGTGGCTGTGGCAAGGCGTGGGCCAAGGGATGTGGACATGGCAAGGTAATGTCAAGAATCCTGTGGGCTAAGGTGGAGATGCTATAACTATCTACTCAGTGTTCAAAAGTCCTACAAACATAAAAGTTGCTTCTAAGCATTGGCACCTTCTCAATTCAAGATTGATGAAGACTGGCTGAACACTTCTTCAAATTCATGAATGTGGTCTCTGGTGTCCCTGTTCACTACACTAACATTGTTCTAGCCATTCCCACTGCATGTGCATTTGTGGTCAACCTGGTTGACAGATTCCTCCCAGTTTCTCCTACTAACTTTTGGCACAGAAAGTGCAGACTCCAGCATCAGAAACAGGTAGAAAAATAAAAGTTCACTTGGTAGTCTGTGTTGAAATGTTGCTCCTGGTGAGAATTTGGTTCATGTTGTCTGCTACATCGTCAAACGGGAGAAACAAGTACAATAGTGTATATCTTTGTGGCCTTCAGCTGAGAGTCTCTCTACCTGGAGGTTTTTCCTGTAGTGCTATATGACCCTTGTGGGTTTAATGCATAGTTAAGATTATTATAATTGTGTACCTGGGGTCAACATCCATTTGGCCAGGTCCTCGACCAGACCTGGTGGATCAGGGCTTGATTAACCAGGCTGTTACTGCTGGCCATATGCAATCCTACATATGAACCAAGCCTGGCTGGTCAGGAAATGACAACAGGTATCTGTCCAGTTCCCTCTTAAAGACAGCTAGGGGTTTACCTGGAGAGAGATCCGGGGGTCAACGCCCCTGTGGCCCGGTCTGTGACCAGGCCTTCTCGTGGATCAGAGCCTGAATAACCAGGCTGTTACTGCTGGCTGCATGCAAACCAACGTACGAGCCACAGCCCGGCTGGTCAGGTGCTTGTCCAGTGCCAGCTTGAAGACTGCCAGGGGTCTATTGGTAATCCCCCTTATGTATGCTGGGAGGCAGTTGAACAGTCTCGGGCCCCTGACACTTATTGTATGGTCTCATAACGTGCTAGTGACACCCCTGCTTTTCATTGGGGGGATGTTGCATCATCTGCCAAGTCTTTTGCTTTCATTGTGAGTGATTTTCGTGTGCAAGTTCGGTACTAGTCCCTCTAGGATTTTCCAGGTGTATATAATCATGTATCTCTCCTGCCTGCGTTCCAGGGAATACAGGTTCAGGAACTTCAAGCGCTCCCAGTAATTGAGGTGTTTTATCTCTGTTATGTGTGCCGTGAAGGTTCTCTGTACATTTTCTAGGTCAGCAATTTCACCTGCCTTGAAAGGTGCTGTTAGTGTGCAGCAATATTACAGCCTAGATAGAACAAGTAACCTGAAGAGTGTCATCATGGGCTTGGCATTCCTAGTTTTGAAGGTTCTCATTATCCATCCTGTCATTTTTCTAGCAGCTGCGATTGATACAATGTTATGGTCCTTGAACCCCTCAAGGAAGGTTCCTTGATGTTGGTGAGGGGCTCCTGATTTAGGGAATTGGATCTGTGCTCCAGTTCCCCGAATTAAGCCTGAATGCCTTCCACATCCCCCCCCAGGCGCTGTATAATCCTCCGGGTTTAGCGCTTCCCCCTTGATTATAATAATAATAATAATAATATGGTCCTTGAAGATGAGATCCTCCGACATGATCACTCCCAGGTCTTTGACGTTGGTGTTTCGCTCTATTTTGTGGCCAGAATTAGTTTTGTACTTTGATGAAGTTTTAATTTCCTCGTGTTTACCATATCTGACTAATCGAAATTTCTCATCGTTGAACTTCATATTGTTTTCTGCAGCCCACTGAAAGATTTGGTTGATGTCCGCCTGGAGCCTTGCAGTGTCTGCAATGGAAGACACTGTCATGCAGATTCGGGTGTCATCTGCAAAGGAAGACACGGTGTTGTGGCTGACGTCCTTGTCTATGTCAGATATGAGAATGAGAAACAAAATGGGAGCGAGTACTGTGCCTTGTGGAACAGAGCTTTTCACAGTAGCTGCCTCGGACTTTACTCTGTTGACTACTACTCTTTGTGTTCTGTTTGTGAGGAAATTATAGATCCCTCTACCAACTTTTCCTGTTATTCCTTTAGCACGCATATTGTGGGCTATTACGCCATGGTCACACTTGTCGAAGGCTTTTGCAAAGTCTGTATATATTACATCTGCATTCTTTTTGTCTTTTAGTGCATCTAGGACCTTGTCGTAGTGATCCAATAGTCGAGACAGACAGGAGAGACCTGTTCTAAACCCATGTTGCCCTGGGTTGTGTAATTGATGGGTTTCTAGATGGGTGGCGATCTTGCTTCTTAGGACCCTTTCAAAGATTTTTATGGTATGGGATGTTAGTGCTATTGGTCTGTAGTTCTTTGCTATTGCTTTACTGCCCCCTTTGTGGAGTGGGGCTATGTCTGTTGTTTTTAGTAATTGTGGGACGACCCCCGTGTCCATGCTCCCTCTCCATAGGATGGTAAAGGCTCGTGATAGGGGCTTCTTGCAGTTCTTGATGAACACGGAGTTCCATGAGTCTGGCCCTGGGGCAGAGTGCATGGGCATGTCATTTATCGCCTGTTCGAAGTCATTTGGCATCAGGATAACATCAGATAGGCTTGTGTTAACCAAATTCTGTGGCTCTCTCATAAAAAATTCATTTTGATCTTCGACTCTCAGTCTGGTTAGCGGCTTGCTAAAAACTGAGTCATTGTCCTTGCTGTCATCTGTGTAGGACCCATCTTGTTCAAGTAGGGGCCCAATACTGGACGTTGTTCTCAACTTTGATTTGGCATAGGAAAAGAAATACTTTGGGTTTCTTTCGATTTCATTTATGGCTTTTAGTTCTTCCTGCGATTCCTGACTCCTATAAGATTCCTTTAGCTTAAGACACAGCATCAACAACACGGCCACTTGATACTGGAGTTCCGCAGGGAAGTGTCCTTGGTCCCCTGCTCTTCCTCATATACATCAATGATCTTCCAAA